ACTTTGGGGTCTCTTCGACGGAACGGAGAAAAAGCCGGTCAACGAGGACGAGATCGCGGCATGGAAGAAGAAGGACCAAAACGCGTTCGCAACGTTGATTTCGCGCATCGGCATCAACCTCGTGAGTTCGGTGCGCACGTGCATCAAGCTCGAAGCTTCGGCGCGTGAAGCATGGAAGCGGCTCGAGACGATGCACGTGAACAAGACTCTCCACGGCAAGATCCTAGCCCGAAATGCGTTCTACACGGTGAAGTTGCGCGCGGGCGAATCGATGCACGAGTATGCGACTCGTGTGGAGGAACCCGGGGAAACGTTCATGGACCTCGGTGGAACGGTCACGGAGGAGGATTGGATTCTCACCTTGCTTTGCGGCCTTCCGGAAGAGTGGTCGACGGTGATTACGACACTCGTTAGCGTGCAAAACACTTGGACGAAGGAAATGGTGGTCGGTCGGCTTCTCCATGAAGAATCGCGACGCCGACAATTCGCTAACGAGGGCGTGGAGACCGCCATGTTCTCCGGAGGGAGCTCCGGAAAGAAGTCCAAGTGGAGCAACGGTGAGGCAAAGAAGTCGTCCGTTGGAAACGGTCGCGGCAAGGGCAACGCATCGAACGGTTCGAGCAAGTGTCATTATTGTCGCAAAGCGGGGCACTTTTGGCGTGAATGTCGGAAGCGGCCGAGCGATTGGATTCCATCGAAGGCGCGGAACCAAGAGGGCAACGCGCACACGGCATCCGGCGAGGCGGATGATTCAACGGAGTCGCTCGTTTTGTTGGCCGGTGACGGGATCAACACTTCAAACGACGCGTGGTTCCTCGACACCGGTGCAACACAACACATGACGCACTCGGCGTCGCTCCTCAACAACGTCGGTGCTCCGGGAGACGTCAAGCGCGTCGTCTTCGGGAACGATAAATCGCTACCGGTGGTTGGAGTTGGGAGTACGCGTCTCATCGTCGATGGCGGGCCGGTGGACATCACGAACGTGCTTCACGTCCCGGGATTGAAGGTGAATCTACTCTCCGTCACTCAACTCACAAAGAAAGACGTGAAGGTCACCATCGATGGCGCGAAGATGAACCTCTTTTGGAAGGGGAAGCAATTCGCGCAAGGCGTTCTCAACGGACAACTCTACCAACTCAAGACGCATCCGACAACGGCCTCATCCAACGTGGCGCAAGGCTCCAAGGCGACTCTCAAAATGTGGCATAATCGGCTTGCGCACGCCAACTACGACTCGGTCAAAGAGTTGGCCAACAAAGGACTTGCGAAGGGATTTGACGTGATCGCCGGCAATGACGAGAAGGGCGTGTGCGCGGCGTGTGTCGAAGGAAAAATAGCTCGCAAGCCATTTGGTAGCCGTACCTCACCCCTCGCAAAGGACCCGCTTGCGCTTGTTCACATGGACGTGAGTGGACCGATGCGGCATGCATCAAAGGGAGGAGCGCGGTTCCTCTTAGTGATGCTCGACGACGCGACGCGGATGAGTTGGACCCGACTCTTGAAGGCTAAGGGAGATGCGGCCAAGGCGATTCAAGAGTGGGCGCTCGACGTTTGCGACGACGGCAAGAAGCGGATCAAGTGCATTCGCACCGACGGTGGCGGCGAATTCGTGAGCAACGAGCTTGAAAAATGGATGAAAAGCAAGGGCATTAAGCACGACGTCACGACACCCTACACACCCCAACAAAATGGAGCGGTAGAGCGGCTCAATCGCACATTGATGGAGGCCGTTCGTTCACTTCTTCAACACTCCAAGCTTGGGAACGAGTGGTGGGGAGAGGCGAGTGCGCTAGCGGCATGGATTCGTAATCGTGTGCCAACAAAGGTGCTACCGGGAACGACTCCGTTCGAAGCATGGACCGGAACGAAGTCGAACCTATACCGCCTACGCACCTTTGGGTGCCTTTGCTACTACCATGTACCGGATCCACTTCGCCACAAGTTGCAACCGAAAGCTCGTGCGGCGATCTACTTGGGGATTGCGGCGAACGAGCGTGCATGGCGAGTGTGGGATTTGGATGAAAAACGCGTCGTCACGTCTCGGGATGTGATCTTCGACGAAGACAAGTTCCCGACAAAGGAGAAACAAACGCCGCAACTCACCGTCGTCCTTCCCGCACGAGAGGAGGATGAAGCGGTGGAGGTTTCACCGCACGTGAAGAAGGGAGCCGAAAGTGGAGGGGGAGAGAACGAGGAGTGCGATGATGATGTCGAGGAGGTGCCACCAACCGAGGAGGCCACTTCCTCCGCACCTTCTTCCCTACCATTGGCGTTGACTCGCGGGCGTCGTACACCTCGCCCCAACACGAGGTTAACCGACTATGCTACGGTCGCCGTTGGGGAGTCGGATGAGGAGAGTGCGGCGATTTGCCTAGCGACCATCGGCGACGATAACCCACACACTCACAAGGAGGCTTTGGCTTCCCCGGATGCACCGCTATGGAAGCAAGCGATGGAGAGGGAGTTAGCATCGATCAAGGAGAACGATGTTTTCGAGCTCGTCGACCCGCCGAAGGGTGCCTACTTGGTGGGATGCAAGTGGGTGCTTAGGAAGAAATTGGGAGCCGATGGAGGTGTCGAACGCTACAAGGCGCGGCTTGTGGCGCAAGGGTACACTCAACGGGAGGGGGAGCACTATAGTGAGACCTTCGCTCCCGTTTCGAAGGCCTCCACTCTTCGGGTGTTGCTCGCGCTAGCGGCATCTCTCAACCTCGAGGTGGAACAATTGGACGTTTGCACCGCCTTCCTCTACGGGCTTCTCATGGAAGAAGTCTACATGCGGCAACCCCCGGGGTACGATGACGGTAGCGGTCGGGTATGGAAGCTCAAGCGTACCCTCTATGGCTTGAAGCAAAGCCCACGCGGATGGTACAAGCGCATCGACGACTTTCTTCTTCAACACGGCTTCGCGCGTAGCGTGTGTGATAGCGCTTTGTACGTGTTGAAGGAGGGGGAGAAGCAATTGGTGCTTTTGCTCTACGTCGATGACCTCCTTCTTTTCTCCGACTCCAAAGACCTCATTCGAGAGGTCAAGCAACGGCTAGGGGCGGAGTTTGCCATGAGGGACTTGGGACCGGTGACGTACTACCTCGGGATGCACGTCGACCGCGACCGCGCGAACGGGACCATTCACCTCCACTAAGAAAAATATGTGAAAGGGGTTGTGGAGCGCTTCGGCATGGGTAATAGCAACCCGGTGGGGACGCCACTAGACACGGGATTTTCTTGCCTCCCGGGAGAGGAAGAATCCGCCCTCGACGAAGCCGAAGGGAAGCGGTTTCATTCGCTAGTCGGCTCACTCATGTATGCCGCCGTTTCCACCCGTCCCGACCTCTCATACGCCGCCGGGGTACTTGGACGAGCCGTAAGCAACCCTCATACCGAGCATGTGCGTGCGGGAGGACGTGTTCTACGCTACCTCCAAGGCACACCCAACTTGGGAATCGTATATGAAGCCGGTCCAATCGTGCTTAAGGGCTACACCGACTCGGATTATGCCGGTGATCAAAGCAAGCGCAAGAGTACCGGCGGGTACGTCTTCACCTTGCTTGGGGAAGCCGTGAGTTGGCAAAGCAAGTTGCAACCAACCGTGGCTCTAAGCACAACGGAAGCGGAGTATATGGCACTCACTCAAGGAGCCATGGAGGCAATATGGCTACGGCGCCTTCTAGCGGAGCTTGGGCATCCTCAAGCCGACCCAACTCCTCTCTTTTGTGACAACCAAGCGGCCATAAACCTCACTCACAATGAGGTCCTTCACGGGCGTACCAAGCACATTGAGGTGAAGCATCACTTCATTCGTGAGGTGGTCGAGAGAGGTGAGGTCAAGGTCACATACATAAGCACCAAGGCGCAACCCGCGGATTTCCTCACTAAACCACTCCCTAAGGATTCATTCCGTGCATGCCGTGAGCGTGTTGGTATGAACACCTAGTGGCTTGGGTGCAAGGGGGAGTGTTGGAAGGAAACGGTGGTGGGGCGGTGGTATGCCCCCAACCCACCGAGGGCACTTCGGTGCCTTCGATCCCTTTGACTAGGGATCGGTGGGGTGGCACCGATTGACTTCGGGAGACTCACCCTTCGGTGCCACGTGGCGGCACCACATTCCAACCTTCAAGTGCAAGGCGAATTCGGTGTGTTCGGTGTGAAATTCGGTGGTCGAATTTCACCCCAACCGAAATGTTACACACGGCGCATTCGCGACGCGAGTGTAGCGATGTGATGTTACATGTGCGGTTCGATGTAATGCATTTGCTATAAATCGACCAGCCTTGTATGCATGCTTCATACTGAAATCCTGAATCTTCTTGTACATGGTCCATTCGAACCAAAATTCCAGAGAGGTCTATCCTTGCTTCTAAGAGCACTAGCAATCACGTGAACGCCAATATCTCGGCGTATACTTGGGCGATTAACGTGTTTGACGGCTTGTTGGAAAGCCAAGACTGTGCTCTATTGTTTAGTGCAATTTAGAGTTCCTGCAAAGTTGAGGAGACGCCTCTACAACAGCTTCAACTTTCGAGGCCCGACCGGGTCAGGATGAAGCGCGTCGGATATCCGCGCTACTCCACGCGTCGAATCAAGGCGTCATGGTTCAGCAACGCATGGCGATAAGCGGCGCGGCTTCGGCGTCGCGACGACGAGCGCCGGGCCATGCCGCGGCGACGGACGCTGCAGCGGTCGCAGCGGCGAGACGAATGGAGCAACCCCAACTCCAAGCGGCTACGGGAGCAGCAGCGATGGAGCTCGCAGAGACGGAGGAGAACATTTCGACGATGATAAGGCGGATTCGTTACGCCAAGGGAGCGCAAACTGCAGCTACTTGCACAGCTACGATCGCTGCTGCTGCTTCTCCGACTGTTGCTGCTTCTGGCGCTGAGACTACCAGGGTTGAAGAAAACGCAGCGTTCAGAAGTTGGGTTTTGGAAACCCCCGCGTTCAGGAGTCCCCATGTTGCAAGGTCGGCGGAGTGGAATGACAAGCTCGGATACAGTAATATGGATGTCGGTACACCCCGAGGTAGGCCTGCTGGAGCTGCTGATAACGCGTACACGCACAGGCGACCCTGGCGTGTGCAAAGCGAAGATGTGATTGAGAGCGTTTCGTGCAACCCTTCGCCTCGCTACACTGTAACCTGCCCAGGCGACATCCTCTCCTCTCCCCCAAGCAGTGCACCTCTTTTTGGCTGCTCCGCTTTTGCAACGTTTGACAACCTATACACACCATTCTCCCAAAAGTCTCAAATGACTACAGCGGCTGCCATCCCCGTTATCAGCAACTCCAATCCACACAAGCACATTCGGCTGTGCCATAATGTTCCTTCGTCTGTCCCTCGTTCTCTACCTGGACCTGCTGACCTGGCACAACCTGAACTTTCAGCGTCAGGGGCTATGATCTGGGCCCCTGCCAGCACTCAAAACGCCGCTCCAGTGTTAGGCACCTTTGGCCTCCCTGTCCCAGGCGCAAGGGTGGCATTAGTTGGACCTCCAACTGTTTTTTTCAGCAACAGCGGAAATTGGCAGATCAGTGGTGCTTCTCCTGTAGGCATGCAGCTGGGAGTTGAACGTGTCTGCGCTGCTACCTCCAGTGGCCTACCTCCTCTGCGAACAAGCCTGAAAGATGCACCAGAAGAGGTGGTAGAAGAGAGACGAAAATGTGACGAGGGCGCTGCAGTCTCAAGGGGCATGATGCATGGCGAGTCAGAGGAGAATAATGAGGGCGAGAAAGGAGATGAATGTGGAGAGGTTTGTGATGGGGAGACAAATGATCCTCCAGTTCAACAAGAGAGCTGCAAGAACAATGAGGATCTCTTGGATCTGACTTTGTCACTCGGAGGGGGCTTGTATGTGGAGCGTGGGGTGTAGGCCTTGAGCTGGCTACTCCATAAATGATATTTCTTGTATATTTCTGGAAATATCAATGTAGAGCATTCTGTAAGTGCTACTATAGCCTGCGAAATGCTACACCACATCGGGAAAGTGGGGATAGGCGAACTCTGGTTACTTTCTGACATTGCTGAGTTGTCGTGACTGTAAATCTCGAGATGCTGGGGTCATTTGCGAACGCTGGCGTCCATGCGATTTTCATCGTAACCACGCATGCGAATCTCGTCAAGCCATGACGAACACCCTCATTCCTTGACCCGAATGAAGTAAGCACGCTCCGCCAATGCTGCGTTGGCGGTGCGATTTGCCAGCGCTGTGCTGGTCGGAGCGATGTTTCTGCAGCAATTTCTCCCTCCCTTCCCTTCGCCTATCCTCCTCACCTCACCCACGACGAACCACAACCACATCGACCTTTCTCCTTACCAGGCTACCACCACACCACCTTCTCCCTTCCAAGCGGCCCCTTCCCCAGCATCAGTTCCACCACAGCACTCATGCACTGACGGCAGCCTCCCTTGTTTCTCCTGTCAGCAGCAACCTTCTACTAGGCTTCACAAGTACAATACGATTATGTTTTTTTCGTTCTTCCAGTTTCATTGAGGGTTCTAAAAACCGTCCTAGTTCCATTGCTCTAGTAGTTCCATTGCTCTAGTAGCCGGTGACTGCACGCGGTCTGTTAACATATTTCGTAACCATGAGTCGCTTAACTCTATGGATGGCGTTGGTAGCGGCCCTTCTCGTCCTTGGATGTGCAGTCACGGAAGCCACTCATGCTTCGAAACCCGCTTCGTCTTCCGAGCTTTCCGAATCCCTTCCGAATAACCGTCGCATGCTGTCGCCGACGAGTCGTCGCCTGCTGTCGCGCGACGGCGGCGGCTTCAGCGACAGCGAGATGGAGGCGATGCACGACAGCATGTGGCGCTGGCGCAACTCCATGGACCGCTCGCGCCGCAGGGGCGGAAGAGGCGGCGGAATGATGGGCGGAAGAGGCGGCGGCGGAATGATGGGCGGAAGGGGAAAGGCGGAAAAAGATTCCGCGGAAAAGGAAGCTTTCCCCGAGGGCGACTGCGGGGGAAACGGTGGCGGAGAGAGTCAGGAGGCCCCCCATTTGGAGCTGATTCGACGAAGCATGCGAGCCGTTGGATTGATTGCGGGAAATTCTGGGGATTTGACGAGCGCCGCCGCCACCACCACGAACGGCGGCAGCAGCAGCAGCGTGAAGCGCTTCGGAGGAAGGCGAATGAGTTTTCCTCTCATGCATATGCATCATGGACGCATGCACGTGCCCATGATGGGTATGGGTATGGGTAATATGAACGAACATCCGATGCATTTTCGTGCGGATACTGAACCTCCCGAGGTTGCTCCTCTGCGCAGTTCGACTCCCTGCGCGTTCTTCTCATCCATCTGTGACTTCTTCCGCCGTGTATTCGGTGCGCCTTCTCCCGCAATCGAATTGCCCTCAAACGAGGATACCGTGGTTGGATCTAGTGGAATCGGCGCGGAGTACCCGCGGAGAATGATGCGCGGCAGAGCAGCGTTGGACACGGCATCGATGAGCACGTTTGACGCGTTTACGAACAGCCTCGTTAATGGCCTTGTTATGGAAAACGATCAGGAGCATGCCATGACTGATGTGCCTGGTATGGATGAAATGATGGGGGATAGGGATGGTACGATGATGGAAGGGGATGATATGATGATGGAGGGGGGTGATATGATGATGCAGGGTGACAAGGAAAATGTGATGATGCCAACTGGGGATGGCATGGTTGGAAGGCATATGGATGACAAGGAGATGGAAGAGATGGAGGGGATGATGGGGGGGAATAGGATGATGCTGAGAGGTGGTAATGCATAGGTATTTTGTGAAAGGATGGTGCTAAAACCTGATGTGCACAAAGACCCTTTTTTTTGTTGTTGTAAATTCCGCTTTTTGAGATATCTCAAAATGATCTGGCAGAAAATCACACGTCCAAAGTGCAGACATAAACGGTATGAAAGCAATATGCAGCCCCTATGGAATCTAATACCTTCAACGAACGAGCCATTAATCCGATTGTGGGTGACACTGGCACTATTGAAACACTAATGTGCAGCAGACACAATTGATGCAAATTGTAACCTTTACTGTGCCCCACAGGTGAAACGGCCAATCATCCGATTGTTTCAGTGGCACTTTCAAGAAACTAGGTGGTTGGTGTGACAGCAGAAAGAAACGCATACACTACTAGCAAATGATTAGGAGCTGTGAACGCCTAGCAGACACGAGCTCTAGAGTGCCTTGAGCTCAAACCCAGCAGCCGAGTCTATGATCTAGTTATGCGTCACACTCCCACAAGCCCCCACCTCCTTCCCCACTTCCCAATAGAGGCCTATGGTCATACAGTCATCCTCTAGACTCTAGAATGGCTTGAGCTCAAACCCAGCAGCCGAGTCAATGATCCAGTTATGCGTCACACTCCCACACGCCCCGACCTCCTTCCCTACCTGCCCAGCAGCTTCCCTCCGCTTCTCCACCAGCGCCAGTTCCCGCCGCATCTTACCCGACCCACTGGGCGTGTTCGCCGGCACATCAGCATACACCACCAACAGCATCTTCGTCTCCCCATGCCTCTGACAATCCCTAGGCTCCCCTTGGTCCTTCCCTTTGTGGTCACTCTTCCCTTCTTCTGCTCTCCTCTTTTCAGTTCCCAAGGCAGCAGGAGCAGCGGAGGCAGCAGTGGTGGTGCTGTTCGTGGTGTTGGAGGGGCTGGAGAAGCCAGAAAGGAGCGTCTTGGCTGTGGGGGAGTGTAGGGCGCTGCTTGGAATGACAATGCCGCCTCCACACTGGGAAGGGAAGAAAAGGGGGAGAGGGGGTTGTGGAATGTTGTGGGTTGTTTTACGCACAGGCAGAAAAAGCAAAAGCAAAAACATCATAAGCATCGGCATCGATAGGTATGGGTACAGAATCCGGAAAATTCGAAAGAAGTGGGAACAGAAAGGATTCAGGAGGAAGATTATAGCGAGACGTTGAAGCTACCTGTAGCGAATCCCACCCACCTGGAGGATGCTTGCCACGTCAGCAAAGGAAGGGCTGAGGAAGCCGCCTTCCAGAAACACCGCTGTGATGTTGGCAAAGAGGGGAGGCGGCGAGGGGCATCCCTTGGCCATGAGCTGATTGGGAATCACGGGATGGGGGAGAGAGAAGAGGCGAGCGAAAGAGAATAGAGGAGAGGGCTGATTCAACCGCCCTCGAGAAACACCGCTGTAATGCTGGCGAAGAGGGGAGGAGGTGATTGGTTGGCCGCCCTTGGCAATGGGCTGAATGGGAGGCATGGGTGGGGGAGAGAGAAGGGCTGAGTGGGGGAGAGAGAAGGGCTGAGTTTGCCACCATTGTAGCCCCGCCATACTTGTCGTGTGAGTCACAGAGAACCAAGCATGCTTTTAGACTCCCATTACCCCTGCTACAACCCTGCTACAACCCTGCTACAACCCTGCTACAACCCTGCTACAACCCTGCTACAACCCTGCTACAACCCTGCTACAGCCGTGGTACAGCCAAGATACAGCCGCGGTACAGCCAAGATACAGCACTGCTACAGCCGCAGTACAGCCAAGATACAGCCCTGCTAGTACAGCCAAGATACAGCCCTGCTACAGCCGCGGTACAGCCAAGATACATCCCTGCTAGTACAGCCAAGATACAGCCCTGCTAACAGCCGCGGTACAGCCAAGATACAGCCGTGCTACAGCCCATCCGTGCTACAGCCGTGCACTCACCGCGTAGTGCAGTCGCCCACGTGCAGCCCCACCAGACCTGCAGCGGGAGTCAGATTTGCTAAGACCACAGCCGTGATACAGCACCTACTGCCAGTCCTGCACTATCGTGCCACAGCCATGCTACAGCCATGCTACAGCCGTGCTACAGCCGTGCTACAGCCGTGCTACAGCCGTGCTACAGCCGTGCTACAGCCGTGCTCTCACCGCATAGTGCAGTCCGCCGTGTGTGCGCCACACATGCTCTCAGACTTCCTCTACCCCTGCCACAGCCCATCTGTGCTACACCCTTGCTACAGCCGTGCTACAGCCGTGCTACAGCCCTGCTACAGCCGTGCTACACCCTTGCTACAGCCGTACTACAGCCGTGCTACAGCCGTGCTACAGCCGTGCTACAGCCGTGCACTCACCGCATAGTGCAGTCGGCCACGTGTAGCCCCACCAGACTCGTCATGCGAGTCATAGAGCACCAGACATGCTACAGCCCTGCACCCACCGGACTCACCCAATGTCAGGCTTGCACTAATCAAGCTACAGTCATGCACTCACCGCGTAGTGCAGTCGACCGCGTGTAGCCCCACCAGACTCGTCATGCGAGTCACAGAGCACCTCGTATGGTCCCTCAGCAGGCGGGGAGGTGGGGGAGGCCGCAGTGGGGGAGGATGTTAACCCTGGAGTGGGAGGGGCGAGGGAGTGAGGAGGAGGGGAGAGGAGACTTACGGGGAGATTGACCCTTGCCGTGTGAGTCACAGAGCACCTCAAACGGCCCCTCAGGAGGCACAGGGGTGGGGAAGAGGGACCGAAGGGGAGCTTGACTCTCGACATGCAAGTCAGAGATCAGCTAGAACAGGCATTCAGACGCCCTGCAACGTCTCGAATAGGGCATTCAGCAATCGGCTTTCTTCGACGCCTCACGAATCTTTCAAGACGATTGCAACTCGTCTTTAAACGTCTCACAATGCGTAAAAAACGCCTGCAACAACAGGGGGGTGGTGATGATTGGGGGGGAATGGCAACCCTAAAGTGCGGCGGGGAGATAGAGAGATGAGGGGTGACAAGGAGGGGAATGGAATACCTGCTGCTAAGAGAAACACTTACAGTTACTGCTAAGTGAAACACTTACACTTGCTGCTAAGCACCCACTGCCCGTGCAGGATCGCCATCACCATTTTGAGCGTCCTCCGTGCCTTTCCCTCGGAATCCGTGCCAACCAATAGGTGGGTGACACGTGGACTCCAGTCTGACGTCAGCTGTGCGCCCATTGCGTCAGCAAATTTGACCAGGCGGGCCTATGGTAAGGGGAGGGGAGAGGAGGGAGAGTGGGAGAAAGAAGGAGGGGCAGGGGGGTGATTGAAGGTGCGGGGAGAGGGAGAGGGGGGAGAGTGAGGTGGGGGTGGGAAGAGGGGAGAATGTGCAGTTAAGGGTAACCAATGATGAGACTAGAGATGAGATTAATGATCAGACACCTTAGGACCGCCGCATATTGGCTTATTGTCGCACCACATGCAGTGACATCACATTGCATGTGGCTGTGTGTGTCTCTCACCTTGGACGCTGAATCCAGGGCTGACCCGCACAGAACCCATTGAATGTGGGTCACACCACTTGCAGTCACACCAAATGCAGTCACATCTCATACAATCACCTTACATCACATCACATGTGGCTGTGAGCTATGTGTCTCTCACCTTGGACGCTGAATCCAGGGCTGACCCGCACAGAACCCATTGACTGCAGGAGAGAGCGAGAGACAAGGAACCGGAGAGGAAGGAACAAAGTGGGGGAGGGGGAGCACAGGTTAGAGTGGGTACATTCGCTTGAGATCCGCATGGGCTGAACGGCAGAGACTTCGCGGGCTGCAGGAGAGGGAAGGAACAAGGCATGGGAGGGGAGAACCGGAGAGGAGGTACATAGCAGAGTCTAGGGTGTAGGCTACATGCGATGACTTTTGAGTCGACTCAAAAGTCAACCGGAGAGGAGGTACATATCAGAGTCTAGGGTGTGGACTACATGCGATGGGACTTCATGTATTGTGTTCCCATATACCTGGGAGGCTTGGCGCTGTTTCTCGAGCAAGAGGAAGTGTCCCCTGTCACTGCAACCGCACTGCACCACTGCTATTCTTCACTTTGTACCATCTCCATACCTGGGAGGCTTGCCGCTGTGTCTTGAGCAAGAGGAAGTGTCCCCTGTCACTGCGGCCGCCTGCCTTGCTCCCATGCCCACAGCCACTTCAGCAGCAGCAGCAGCACCAGCAGAAGCCGCAGCAGTACCATCACCACCAGCAGCACCAGAAGCAGCAGCAGCAGCAGCAGAAGCCGTTTCTTCCTTCCTCCCCTTTTCGTTGCCTCCCCTTTCTTTCGCAATCTCCTCTATAAGAGCGGTTTTTCTTGCCTCCTCCTCCCTTCCCCCCTCTCCCCCTTTTCCCTTCTCTCTCTCCTCTCCCTTTTCTTCCTTCGCTTCCTTCGCTCCCTTCTCACCCTCCTTCCCCTCCTTCCCCGGGTCGGTCAGCTTATTCAAATGCCCCTTAACCACCGGTTGAGGCACCTTAAAGACTGCCTCGTTATGCGATTTAGTCACCCGGGCCTGTGCCGTCAGCTTTGTCGGAGCAGCAAGATCAACAGAAGGGACGCTAACTGAAGCCTTGGATGTTAATTCAGTAAGAGAGGCTTGGCCTCTGCTGCTACTACAGGGGGCCATTGCGTTTGCCGCTCCAAGGCTGGTGCTTCTACCTGTGTCCTGATCACCGTGCCCCTCTGCTACTCCCTTTCCCTTGTCCTTCTTTGCAGCATTAACTTTTGTGATATTTTTTACAAAGGCAGCTGCAACAGCACCAGCAGCAGCAGCAGCAGCAGCAGCAGCAGCAGCAGCAGCAGCAGCAGCAGCAGCAGTGGCAGGATTAGCAGCAGAGAAGCCAGCAGCAGCAACGGCAGCACCAGCACCAGTAGCGGTAGCAGTAACACTTTTGGGTGCAGCCTCCACAGGAATTCTCTCAGAAGCTGCCACAGGAGGCAATCCTGCAAATATAGAAATCGCCCAACATATAGAACAAGATTCTGTGAAGGAAAGCAAACAATCACACTCCCTCAGACACTTGACATGCAAACAATCACTCAGGAACCTCTTGACACTTGACATCTGCAGCATTCTCACATCCCTCCAGCCATTTCAAAACCCTTATTGACATGCAACTCACCTCTCTCCTTGCCCACGCTTGCCACGCCCACTTCCGTCTTCTTCCTCACTGCAGCTGCATCCTTCGTAGTCACACCCTTCATAATCACATCTTCCGTTACAGGAACCTTGGCTACAGAAGATGATCCCTTGCCCAGGCGTTCCAGATCCGCTCCTTTGCTTTTGACAGTTGTGGCCTCCTTCATAGTCACATCCTTTACAGTCACGTTCTTGACAGTCACGTCCTTGACGGTCGCGCCCTTTATGGTCACATCTTTCTTCGCCGGAATTTCGGGCACCACTGGAGCTGACCCCTGCGCGGAAGCCTTTCTCCCCCCCGCCCCCGCGCCCCTTCCCCCTGCGCCTGTCCGCGCGCGCCTCTGGTTCTTCCCCGCAACGGGGGGGGGCGCGCGGGCGTCCTCCTTCCCCGTTTCTTCCTCGTCCGAATCGTCCGCATGCGGTGGCGGCGCCGGCGGGGACGGCTGCTTACGCTTGAGTTTCTTCGGTTTGGCCCCCACAGGCGGGTGTTGCGGGCAGAAGAGCACGTACGCGTCCTGTCAGTGCATATAGAGAATGTGCATATAAAGGGTGTGCGCGTTTAAGGGTGTGCAGGGACGCGGCAATGTAGCGGGGAATGCGAAGGATACATGCCAGCATACACCACAGAACATACTGACAGCAAACCCAGCCACATGCCACCGACTTCGTTTCTTCAAAGGGACCCACCCCGGATGGCAATTTTGGGATGTGCAAGCTGGAAGGCGGTGGATACGGTTCTTACGTCGTCGAAGTGGCAGCCTGGAGTGCGACGCGCGCACGGCACGTGGTACGTGTGGCGGCACGCGGGGACGCGGCAGCCCAGCGCCGCGCCGCGCCCTCCGCAAACGGTGCAATAGAGCCCGCCCGATCGGCGCAGCTCCTTCTGCACGTTCATAAAACGACCCTTGGTGAAATGCACTTCGGGGGACCTGCGGGGGGAGTGGCGGAGCGAAGGGCGCGGGAGCGAAAGGGAGTGGTCCAGTTTCTGTGCCCGCCGCACACGGTGCAATAGAGCCCGCCCGATCAGCACAGCTCCTTTTGCACGTTCATGAATCGCCCCTTGGTGAAATGCACCTCGGGGGACCTGCGGGGGGAGTGGCGGAGCGAAGGACGCGGGAGCGAAGGGAGCACGAGTGAGGTGGCTTACGCAATCGGCGCAGCTCCTTCTGTACGTTTATGAATCGGTCCAATCCACGGACCTCGTTTCCAAGGACGAACGCATATCTTGTCGCGACTCAATTACTATGTAGTTGTCCCCGATATAAGCCTCTGAACTGAGCGAAGAAGGCATTCCTCGTAGACGCACATCTCGTTACACAAAACATGCGGTTATCCCCGATATATGCGTTTGAACTCACCAGAGAAGGCAATCCTCGTGGACGCATATCTCGTTGGGACTCAGCTCGCCCGCGAGCTCAAAAGCCACGCCCTTTTCGTCCACCGCCACCAAATCCCCGGTAGACTGACGCATGGAAAGGAAGAGAGAGAAAGAGAACATAAGAGACAAAAACGCTGTTAGTGAAATTCCGAGTAGAAGACCGGAAGGTAGTATCGTATTGGCCGCCGCTGACAGCGCCAAGCGACACAATTCCCGCATTCTAGTCAAAGACGCCACAAGATGGCAGATATTGCAATCGGAGCACTTCATCGATCTGTTTGCGGACGTAACTCCGTTTTCTGGAACTTACCTCGTCCGAGCTGGCTTGATCGCAGAAGGAGCACCGAAGCTTCTTCTTCTTTTCCTTCTTCCCCACTCCATTATCCTCGTCAGCATTCTCGCCGTCTTCCGCGGTTGCAAGAGCTTTCGATTTCCCGCCATCTGCCTTCGGCATCTCGTCGAGCTTACGAGAATGGTCCGCAGCGGCATTACGAGTTTTCGTTGTTGCACCGGCATTATCATGGCTGATACTGTCTAGAGACTTAACTCGTCCCTTCAATCTCAAAATGTCCATCCCCGATTCCATGTCGAAATCACGGATCGGGGTCGAAACGATGGTGCCATTCGCCGCATCGGACGGCGGCAAAAGCTGAATGCGCTTGTTGGGATGCGCCAGCGACGGCGGCCTGTGATCCATTTGGGGTGCGTGTTGTCGCAGCTGATTTACTCTGTCGGCTTTCGAACGAGGACGAAGGTGAAACACTCGCAACAGATGTGGACGCTGGGGAAATTGTGCTGCGATTCTGACCCAAACTGCGACTGCTGTGAAACGAAGAAACGACTGTGAGAACTCCCTCGAAGTGGGAATGGAACTGGAGTTTTGAATGATCAAGCGCACAAATAACGAATGAACGAGGGTGGGTGGTGAGTGGGAGGGAGCTGAGACTCAAAATTGGCCGACAGAGTGGGGAGCTGTCGTTTCATTTGCCCGTCGTCAGCGGCGGAATTCGTGAAGTTCGTGTATACTTACAGAAAACAGGAAAATCCTGGAGATACAAGGGTTGACGAGTGACTAAGGAAGTTCGCGAAGCCACATGGATACCAGTCTACTACCACAAGTTTGTTGAAGGCTTGCAAGCGCCTCGGAAACACCAGAAGGGAGTTTGAATTTGAATTCGACATTCGAAATTTGAACGTACTCGCTAAGTACTCAGGCTCGACTGTACAAATCCCCAACTATACAAAAGCGTCGGAGAACCTGGTAGACAGGTTGTAGCTAACTATACGTCGCATCTCCATATGCTTTTGAAAATGCTGGAGATGAAGACAAATTATGCAACTGGTACGGGTCCGGTATAGACGTAGTCACGGATACCCAGTTGCCCACTAGGCGTAGTTTGCGACAGATGGACTAGGCGGCATTTAACGAGCTGATGCGGCAACCCGCAAAAATGAAGACTGACATGCAGGCATTAATGACAGAAGTGGAGAAGCTACGTGAAGAAAACACCGAGCTACGCCATGCGCGAGATGAAGCGCGCCAGGAGTCGCCCGATGAAGAAGGCGAGGGAAAAAGTCAAGCGGTGAGCAATCGTTGGACGAGCTCACACGTGGTTTCGAAGAAGAAGATAGCGGGCGGCAGCAACAACCGTTGCAGTAACGACGATCAAGATTAATCCCGCGAACCCGCCCCTGTTCAACCTCACGGACAAGAACACTACAGTTAACGGGTGGCTCTTCGGCGTGGAAGTCTACTTCACTGCAGCGAACGTCAACGACGACTCCACGCGTATTAATTACGCGGTATCGCTTATGCGAGGCCCAGCGCTTGAATGGTGGCGTCGAACCTTTTACACAAGGACCTCGACAGGTGTGACACATGCGGCAGACGGGACTTCTGACTCTGCAGAGTAGTATCAATTTTGTGGGTGTGACCACAATTCGCACGTGAAAGGACTGCGGTGCAACCTTACGAGAGCGTTTCGAGCATGTATCCGCCTCGGAACACGCTCGCATGAAGCTGCGTGCCTGGTCGTAGTTGGCTTCTATTCAAGACTACACGGCGTCATTTATAGCACTCACCGACCAAGTGGATGACATGGCGGAAGCATAACGGTTGGATAAATACAACAGCGGCCTCATGTACGAGATACAGTACGAGGTGTGCCACAGCCGTCCAGCTACTTTCATCGAAGCCGTACAATTGGCCGAGTATACAGATGCGCTGATGCAGTGGGCGAGGTCGAGTTCCCTGGAGGGAAACCGATTTCGTGGACAGACCCAACGGGCCACGATTAACGGAGTCCATGCGCCTGACCACCCTTTTACGGGGTTGTGTTATAAGTGCGGAAAGTCGGGTCACATGTATAAATACCGCCCCGGCAAGACGCAAGGAAGGAGGAACGACGGTAAAGAGCCGAGAAACGAGAAGAGTCAGTAACAGACGGGCCCCTTAAATGACAGTGCTCTGTCGCCCGAACACCACCATCCCCTGTTAGAATAAGCAGACAGGAAATGGTGGACTAGGTAGCATGCATGAGTACAAGTACCTAACCCTAAAGTGGTGTACCCCTTGTAGGCTAACCTACTATAGCCTAGAGAGAACACAAACATACAGTTTGACACACCCCCATAGGCTAAGTGGGAGAGAGCAAACACAACAGACGGTCACAAGACCAGTCAAGCAAGAGAACAAAGGAAAGCAAAGCTCAGGGTGGATCTCAAGATCACCACGCATTCTAAGCACAAGCAAGCAGCCACAAGGCCAGTTCACATGCAGAGTTATAATAGCAAGGCAGTACACTGATCACAACCTAGCAAGAGTAAACAAGCAGGTATAAAGATATATATCAGTGTACAACAAGAGCAAGTCAAGCAACCAGCAGGTGAGGCAGAGTGGGCACAAGCCCAAGAGCTGTGCAGAAACGCTGATGATCACCAGACCCAAGGGCCTTGGTGAAGACATCAGCAGTGTTGGCCCGAGAGGCCACGTAAGCAAGGCGCAGCTAACCACGCTGCTGCAGCTCACGCGCAAGGAAGTAGCGAAGAGCAATGTGCTTCGTTCTGTGCTCCAGTCCCTGCTCGCGACACAAGGCAAGCATTGCCTTGTTGTCGACGTACAGAACTGGAGGAGAACGAGGCCGCTCCCCCAAGTCGGTCAGCAGGTAGGTCAGCCAGCGTAGCTCCTGTGCAGCCATGGTCCCAGCGTAGATCTCGGCCTCGCAGCTGGAGCCAAGCACAGAAGAAGAACGAGTGGACCTCCACGAGACAGAACCAGAGCCAAGACTGAAGGTGTAACCCTGTGACGAACGCTGAGTCGCCTGGTCATCGGCCCAAGAAGCGTCAGAGTGTCCTGTGAGTACCACTGACCCCCGTCCTCCAAGCACGAGCCCCATGCCCGATGTACTGCACAAGTAACGCAGTACCCTCTTCGCAGCATCAAAGTGCACCTTTCGATGTCGACCAGGTGCCACGTAGCGAGCCAGGAGGCTGAGAGGGTACGCGAGGTCAGGTCGTGTGCACGTCATCAGGTACATGAGGCAACCCACAAGCTCTGGGTACGGACCACTCGGCTCTACGGACTCGTTCGAAGGTGGAGCTGAGAGCGAGTAGCCGGTAGACAGAGGAGTGGGCTGTGGCGAGGACCACGAGAAGCCGAAGCGCTGAAGGACCTAGTGCACCATGTGTGACTGAGTCAGGGTGATGGTGCGCCGTGCTCTGTCCCGGGTGATCTGCAAGCCAAGATAGCTCCGCAGCTCACCCAGGTCAGTGCAGGTGTGTCTCTCCTGCAGCTCCGCCTTCACTAGGGCCAGTGCCTCAGTGTCAGCAGTAGCAAAAACCAAGTCGTCGACGTACACGAGGATGTAGAACGGCGGCAGAGTAGTGTCGGTGCGTAGAAACAGCGACGGGTCAGCAGTCGAAGGAGCAAACCCAAGAGCCGCAAGTGTCGTCCTCAGTGTGTCGTGCCACTCGCGGGGCGCCTGACGCAGGCCGTACACTGGTCGCCGTAGGCTCCACTAGGTACCCTCAGTGAAGCCCTCTGGACGGCGCAACAAGATGGCCTCGTGAAGGCTACCCTGTAGGAAAGCTGTCGAGAAGTCGAGGGAGTGCAGCTCGTGGTCGCGCTGTGCTGCAACGTGCAGCAACACCCGAAGAGTGGTCATCTTCGGGGTAGGGGAGAAGGTCTCAAAGAAGTCGACCCCCGCACGCTGACTGAAGCCTCAAGCAACGAAACGTGCCTTGTAGGCAGGTGGAGAACTCGGCGGCCGCTTCACTCTGAAAATCCACATGCCACTGACAATGTTCGCCCCAGGTGGGGGAACCTCGTCGACGTAGGTGCCTGTGGACTTCCAGGAAGCCATCTCTGCATCCATGGCTGTCTCCCACTGAGAGGAGTACTCACCCGAAATCTCCTCTCTGTAAGAGCGCGGGGTGGGGATGTCAAGTGCATCCGGGTCTCCCTCAGGGGCAAGCAGCATGGTCGCGAGATGGGGTGCGGCGGCCGCAAGGCACTCCAACTCCTCCTGCCTGTCCTCAAGAACGTCACAGCCAAGGGCAGTCTCACCCCGGACGGACGGAGGACAGGCATGGACAGGGTCAGAAACTGCGGAGAGTCACTCTACAACGGTAGTGAGCTAGACTACGGGGGTTGGCACGAACTACTAGAGGTGATCGTAGCTTTGCTTGGTTCCTTAGTGCTTGCACATTCACGGGAGAAATCGGCAAGAGTTTTCACTTGCAAAGTTGGAATTACAGAATAATTGAACAAGCAATGACAGAATGACTACATCAGGCACCTAGCAACCCTGCAGCTAGCCTGGTCGACCGCCAGCACAGCTCGGTCGACCGCCTGCCAGCGTTGCGTAGAGGAGCCGCGCCGGCACTGCAGAAAGGCGACCTGCCAACAGAGCAGGTCGACGGCGTGCCAACGCTGCAGCAGAACGGCTGTCCAGCGTTGCCCCGTAGAACACAGCAGTGTGCACGCTCGCAGGTGCGCGCAGACGATTGGCCCGACTTGCCTCGTTGGGCATCCGTCGGCTGTTGTCTGCGCCTGACGAGCCACATCGACTCCGGGATACCAGCCCGCAGTCGCCTGCGCCATCGCAACCTCGACGACGTTCGCGTGCCTCCGCAGAACTCGTCGAGCAAGTTACCCGGTCGACCCGGTCGACCACTAGGTGCTTCCTGTCGACCACCACTGCTTCTGGTCGACCACCAGGTCCCTCTGGTCGACCACCAAGTGCCTCTGGTCGACCACAACTCCCGTCGAGCTACCCCCTGGTCGACAGACCCCTTCCGACTGCTCCGTCGACCTCCCGGTCGAACTGCAGGTCGACGGGATGCTCCGGAGACCTCCTGGTCGAGTTGCAGGTCGACAGGATGCTCCGGAGACCTCCCGGTCGAGCAGCAGGTGGACGGGATGCTCCGGAGACCTCCCGGTCGAGCTGCAGGTCCTGGTCGACGTCCCACCCGTCGCCCAGACCAGTCAGTTGCAGCTGTCGAGCTCCCTGGTCGACAGCAACACCACAGCGGTCCCCTGCAGCTCGACGAAGCCTGTCGAGCAGCTCTCCCACTGTGAATGGTCGGCTGCTACTCCCGTACATCCGACCAAGTCGTCGGCGTTGCCCAAGCGAGGGCGGGGCCAACACTCCATTCCTGTTAACACTCCCCTGCCGCGCTCACGCTTGGGCCTCCAGC